GCGCCTTGGGAGGCTGAGGTGAGTGGATTGCCTGAGCCCGCGGGTTTGAGACCCGCCTGGGCAGGCGAGACCTCATCTCTACAATAAATCAAAAAATTAGCTGGGCGTGGGAGTGCGCACCTGTAGTTCCAGCTCCTTGGAAGGCCGAGGCGGAAGGATCGCCGGAGCCCAGCAGGTCGAGGCTGCGGTGGCCGGGAGCAGCCACTGCACTCCAGTCTGGGCGACAGAGTGAGATTCCAACTCAAAAAAAATTAAAAAATTAAAAAATAACAAAAGTTTCTTGTCATGTTAACCATAGCAAAAATTACTGTGTTGTTGGATATTTAGAGCAGGGGTTGACAAACTGCTGCCTGGGGGAGGTCAAATTCAGCATGCCTCTTGTTTTTGTAAGTAACATTTTATTGGGATACATCATATATTTACACATCATATATAGCTGCTCTTCAAAGGGAAAGTTGAATAACTGCGACACTGAATGGCCTACAAAGCCAAACATTTTGCAAGATGTTAATACTACATCATTCTGTGGCATTTTAGTTTTCTTCTGGAGATTAAAGCTGTTTTTCTTGAGATAAATGAAGCAGCCAAAACAGAACCAGTTGACTAAAAAACACCTCACTAAAACATCAGTCATTTTCAGAACATATCAACTGACTTTAGCTATTCATTCCCTGTTCTTTTAAAAGTTTTTATCTCTGCACTGTATGCCTTTAGTACATTTGTGGAAGTTTGTTGTCTGTTAAGCCATTTCACTAACTACAGCCTGGTTGGAAAGATGCATTTGGTTGACCTGATTGGTTTGGCCAAGTATACTATTTTCCAATATGTGTTGTATCAGCAAGCTCTCTACATTAGCTATATCTATGTTTAACCCTTTAGAGATTAAAGGAATATGTATTGTGTAAAAATTAATTTTGTAAGCACTGGGTTTAGATATTTTATAAAAGCTCTTTGCGATATTCTCTTAGGAAGGGAGCGTCCATAATGTTGCGGTGGTTTATTTTCAGAACTTTATCAAATTTAATGATGTCATTGTAATAGGAACTTACTAAATTCGCCGCTGTTAGAATTTCTGGATCATTTTTGTATGGCTTGGACTCTGGCAAGTCAAATGGCTTTAATCCAAGTTCTTCAGCATATTTCCTAAGATCAAATATTTTAAGCAAGTGGTTCACATGGAATTCCCTGATTTATTTATTCTTGAAGGCATCAAAAATTCAGTGTGAATTTTCAAATTGACCTTCTCTCAGGGGTATTTTGCCCCTTCATTCTCTGAAGACTCCCATGGTTAATGACAGATTGATGAGAACTGATTAGTTATAGAGTGTTTTCATTTTTTTGTTTTCATTCTGTGTGCAGTTGAATTTTCAAATCATATATCTCTAGTAATTGTATCCTTTTTCAGATTTTCTTTTCCATCATCAGTCCAATATGATTGATGTAGCTGATATAAAATAATTTGAAACTTTCTGTATTTCTCCCAATTCTCAATCTAATTTTCTAACCTTCATACTGCCTTAAACCACAGTCTGTAATTCTTAGCATGTTTCAGAGCTTCCATTGTTGTTTTGTGGAATTCCTAGAGTAAATTCATCAGATTCACTGTGGATTGTTTCCAGTTTTGGCTATTGGGAATAAAGCTGCTGTGAACATTTGAGTTCATGTTTTTGCATGCATTTAGATTTTCATTTCTCTTGGATAAATACCTAGGAATGGACTCACTGGGTTGTATGGTAAGTATATGTTTAATGTTATAAGAAACTGCCAAATGCTTTCCAAAGTATTGCATTCCCAGTCTTAATGTATAGGAGTTCCAGTTCTTTCTTGTCCTTTATCTTAGGTCTTCTTAATTTTAGCATTTAGTGAGTATGTAGTACACTCTTTTTGTGGTTTTAATTTGCAATTCTTGATGATTAATAATGATGACATCTTTTCAAATGCTTATTTGTCATGTGTTTATTTTCTTTAGTGAAGTATCTGTTAAATCTTTTACAAACTCACCACTCCAGTTTTTTTTGATTGTTGATTCCTTAAGAGATATATATTCTGGATACAACTTTGTTATCAGATATACTTTATAGGCATTTTGACCTGTACTGTGGCTTACCTTTTCGTATTTTTAATAGTAAGATTTAAAAATTTTGATGAGGTATCCAATTGTTATATTTTCATCTATGACTCATGACTCCTAGGGACCTCTCTAGGTAACTATGCAGCTCTCTTTCTCTCTCTCTATTCAGCTCATTCTTCTCCAGTACTAAGCCCCACAATTCTAGCTACCTTGCTCTTCCCAAATTCTGCTCTCTCTCTCTCTCCCCTCAACTCATGTAGGTACCTCTGACCCCTAGATCTGAATCGGTTTCCTTAACATGTGCTGTAACCCGGAAGCTGCCACCATACAACTAGCTGCTATAGTCTTAGGTGTCACCTTGGATTTTTTTTCCTTTTGTCAGATAGCACCACAGTCCTGAGCTGCCATAAGTGTTATTAAGGATGTGTTAATACTGCTGGGGGGTGGGAGGGACAGAAGAGAGGAGCACATGGCAACATATTGGGTACCTGGGCCACTATCAGGGGAGAGAGGGCCAGTTATTAATAGAAGCCCAGGCTTCACCTGTATGCAACCTACTTATATAGTATATCCTTGTTTGTACCCATCCCACAACTCTAAAATTTAAAAAGTTAAAAAAAAAAAAAAAAAAGACTGTTAATAACTAGAAGTAATATATGAGGGGGGGAACCAGGATCTCAGGATTATTTTTTGGAGGGCAGGCCCCTTGTAATATAGGCTTTCCCCTCTAGGTAAGTGTTCTAGGAATCCATTAGCAGCAGTTTATCAGCTGTTGCCATTGTGAGAGGCTATGCTTGGCTTTAGTTTTTTTTTTTTTAAAGAGTCTATCAACACATTTGCTTTGATACAAGTGCACCTGCCCACGCTGCACTGAGTGTTCAGCAGTTTTTGACCAAAAACAGCATGACCCCTGAGCCCCACTCTCCCTATTCACCCAATCTCACCCCTAGAGACTTTTTTTTTTTAAATCCTGGATGAAGAAAGTCCTCAAAGGGAAAAATTTTGCTGATGTGGAAGAGGTGAAACAGAAAAACAGCAGAAGCACTAAAAGGCATAAAAATTGGCAAGCTCAAAAACTGTTTTGAGCAGTGGAGAAAGCAATTCTACAGGTGTATTGCATCAAACAGAGTACTTTTGAGGCGACTGAAGTTTAAACAGTTGAAGTTAAATAGTTACAGTAAGAACACGCAGTATTTTATAAATAAACTCTGGGTCCCTGAACAATTATCATAATACTATAAGAAAGGGATTGGCAGTGACAGGAAACTGCCAGGAGAGGGAAGGAGGGGTACACGTCATCAATAAGGTTACCCAATCTCAAACCAGGCAAACTGGGGACCAAAGTGAGGCCCAAACTTTACCTGTACCGATGACTATTTGTATATCTAATCCTGAATTGTACTCCATATCTTTAAAGTAAATAAATATATAAACAAAATCAGAGATACTAAATAAATAAATAAACAAACAAACATACAAACTCTGGAGGGTTTTTTTTTTGTTTGTTTGTTTCTTTTTTCTGAGTTGGAGTCTCACTCTGTCATCCAGGCTGGAGTGCAATGGCCGCTCCCGGCCACCGCGGGCTCGACCTGCTGGACTCCGGCGATCCTTCCACTCAGCCTTCCAAGTAGCTGGAACTTCATGCGTGTGCTATCACATCTGACTAATTTTTTGATTTATTGTAGAGATGAGGTCTCGCCAAGTTGCCCAGGCGAGTCTCGAACCCGCAGGCTCAGGCAATCCACTCACCTCAGCCTCCCAGGACATGGAATTACAGGCTGAGCCACCAAGCCCGGCCCGTCTGGAGGTGTTTTTTTTGGTTCCCCTCTTATATGTCAATAAAGCTCCTTGGAAAGCAGTTGGGCAGTGTCATTGAAGGTATAAATAGTTTGCTGGTTAAGAAAGAGCATAAGCTTTCAAGTTACTTAGTTCAAATTCTCCAACTATAAAATATTCATGGCCCTGAAAACATGATTACCTGAAAGGCTAGAGAAATTATTGTACAGGAGAATATTCATTTGTATGCAATCACTTTAAATTTTCATCTTAAAACAGGAGTATCATACACTTGAATGATATGCTGATTATGATGTATTCTCACCAAGCAGGAGAATCAATTCTATTGTCTAGCTTTGAAAACAATGCATTGTTAAAGTAGAAAGTCACATTTCCGTGTTCCAGTTTTTTTTTTTTTGTATGTGAGGAAATGAAATTTAACAAGGGAGAAGTATTAGAAATAACTGGGTACTTGATATGTTTTACAAAGAATTGCTGACATTACTGACATCTGTTCAGGTTTAGTTAACTCATTACAGAAGAGGAGGCAGTTTTTGTCCATTGGAAAAAAGCATAGAATATTTTCCCATAGCTTGTTTGAATCCCTTGGCATTTGGTGGTCTTGTTTCATGTTGAGTAGTTTGCTCTGTGCATTCTTATGCCATTTGCCCCAGGACAAATCCCAGTTAAGGAACTTCTTTTTCCATCTGAGAGCCGGCATGTGGGCTTCATGCCAAAGTGTCAATTAAAGCAGCAATTTTTATAACCTTACTTTTTAAATGGGAGCACTTTACATCCTTCTTTTGAGGTTTGGTTATTTTCCTATGGGATATCCATTTTGAATAGCATATATTCCCTCTTACAGTACGAGGGTCATCAGCTGCACTTCTTTACAATAGGGATGGAGTGCAATATGAGATGTATAGAGCAAAACAGATTGCTTTTCTTTCATCTTTTTCCCCCATTTACATTTGCTTTTGCTTTTATCTGAGGTGGTCGTCCCTGAAGAGGCAGTAATTATGGGCATGTATACGTGTATATGTCCTTGTAACATTTTAAAGCATGTAAATGAGAAAACCTTGCTGTTTAACCCCAAACAAGAATTTACATGACTGACCTAACTAAAACCTCTGTTTCCTTATGTTTCCATAGGAGTCTCCCCAGGACAGTGCTATCACCCGGGATATTAACCGAACATTCCCAGCCCATGACTACTTTAAGGACACAGGAGGAGATGGACAAGATTCCTTATACAAAATATGCAAGGTATTTTCTGTCAAAAAAAAAAAAAGATTCAGTTTTGAGTGGTGGCTCTGGTTCTTTGAAATTATATAAAAGACAACACCAAAGTATTTGTATTTGATGGTCAAGAATGCAGAAAAGGAGAGAAAAGACTTTGTATAGTCATAGGTAACAATACAATTTTTTTTAATGTCATTAGAATTTTATTTATTTTTATCTTTATTTTATTTTATTTATTTATTTTTATTTTTTTTGAGTTGGAGTCTCACTCTCTCGCCCAGACTGGAGTGCAGTGGCCGCTCCCGGCCACCACAGCCTCAACCTGCTGGGCTCCGGCGATCCTTCCACCTCAGCCTTCCAAGTAACTGGAACTTCAGGCGTGCGCTACCACGCCCGGCTAATTTTTGATTTATTGTAGAGATGAGGCCTCGCCCAGTTAGGTCTTGAACCCGCGGACTCAGGCAACCCACTCACCTCAGCCTCCCAAAGCTGCGGAATTATAGGCTGAGCCACCGAGCCCAGCTTCTTTACTTTATTTTAAAGATGTGGGGTACAATTCAGGATTAGGTGTACAAATGTTCATTATGTAGGTTCCCTTGTTGATGAGGTATGCCCCTTTCTCTCTTGGCAGTTTCCCTCAACTGTCAATTCCGTACCCACTTCCCTGGCAGTTTCCCACTACTGCCAATCCCTTTCTGATAGTATTATGATAATTGTTCAAGATTCGCTTATGAGTGAGAACATATGTTACTCTGTTCTTTGTTTCTGTGATAGATCACTGAGTATGATAGACTCTAAATCCAACCAACCAGGTTGCTGTGAAGTCCATATGTTTTTCCTTCTTTTTGGCTGCAAATATTCCATTGTGTATAGGTACCACATTTTTTAGCCATTTCAACTTCGTTGGATAGCATGATTGGTTTCATGTTTTTACTATTGTGAATAGAGCTGCAACAAACATGCATGTGCAGGTATCCTTTGGTAGAATGACTTGAGTTCCTCTGGGTATATTCCCAATTAGGGGATTGCTGGGTCATATGGAAAGTCAGTTTCCAGTTCTTTCAGAAATCGCCATATTGTCTTCCAAAGAGGTTGCACTAGTTTGTATTAACAATACAATTGTAAACTCTTAAAGAACAGGAAATAATTAACAGTAAAATGGTAGGGTTTCTTTTTCCCTCTTAATAAGAATTTTCAGATAAAAATCCCCTGGTTCCATATTTAGACTTTAAAATATAATTTTATGTTCACAGTCTCTGAGCCCTGTAATATTGCAAAACTCCTTTTCAAAGTTAACATTGTAAGCAGTGAACTTGACACTTAGGGTATCATCCAACAATGGAAAGTGCCACTGCCTATCCAGGAAGACTTAAAGTACTGCAGCGTAATAAATGGTGGCAAATGCTGATTTCTGTCAAAAGGTCTGTACTTAAACACTATAAAGTAAATGATAACCTGTTCAGTTGCAGTAATCTATTTTTGAATAGATTTTGGCACATCAGAACTGTAGGACTATAAAAGGAGGGGTAAAGATCAGAGCTTTTCAACTTTCGTCTGTCCCCAGAACTAGTCTTTAGTCTTTTTCCCCCAAAATGAATCAAATAATTATTTAACATCTTCTATGTAGTAAGAACATGTAAGGTGTGAGACATGTCCTTAAGGAACTTGAATATTATGATTGAGAAGGCAGAAATAATAACTAGTTTTAGACAGGCTAAGAATAAAGAATACATTCACCAATGCTGAATTAGATCGTTTAAACTATAAGGACAGAGTTTAGAGAAACGTTTCTAGGTTTAATTTTAATTTCACCATAGCACATACAAGGCTATTATTTCTATTGTAATCCTCTCTGATCTTCCTTTTTTGGCCACTTCTGTTTTATTTCCCACTTATCCAGTTACTCCAGCTATCCTTCACTTTACTGCAAAATTTCCTGGAAAGAAACCTGTGTTCCCTACCTCTGGTTCCTCATCACATACTTTTGGCCCCACTGTTTTCTAGTTCCTGTCTCGTGATGCTCTTCCTTGCAAGTCTCTCTGCCCTTGACATTTCACCATCTTGGTTATGTTCTCGCTCTCTCATGACTTAACCAACTGGTTTATTATTTTATCTTGTTCTACCTGCCTCTAAAGCAGAGCCCTTCCCCCAGGTGCTCAGTTGGTAGTCCCTCTAGCTTTATGCATTAACTCAGAATTTAAATTTCTAGTGATAGTCTCCACATCAAAGTCTGTCAAATATATTTTTAAAAATGAATCTAAAAATAGAGTTTATTTAAAAACGTGTTTTATTATGAAAATTTTCAAACATACAAAAGTTGATTAGTATGATTAGTCTAATTAATATAATTACTATCTCCCACCCTATTTCAGTATTTATCAACATATTGTCACAGTTACTTCATCTGTTTTTTCTTTTTCCCAAAGTATTTTATAGCAAATCTTTTTTCGTGATCCTAAATCCTCTACTGTGCAGCTCTAGAAAACAAGATCATTATCCATCTACACCATCTAATAGCCACTCCATATTCAAGTTTCCTTAAATGTCTTTCTTTACGCAGTTGGTTTGAATCAGAATCCAACCAAACCGACATTATATTTAGTTACTATATCTCTTTTAATTAAAAACAGTCTTTCATTCCCCGTTGCCATTATTCAGCACAAGATGTAATTATTTCTGTCCATTTTCAATTCTTCTTTTGTCCAGGTTGAATAAAATACAATTGATGTCTCTTCACTGCCCTGGTAGAGGCCAGTATTTTATGTTGCTATCACTTTTATAAAAGCTGCCCTGCCTCTGGGATCTAACTTGTTTATTATTTGCTCCATGTTTACCCCAGAATTGGATCGCTTCAGCGGCCTTCACAAAAAACTGTAGTGCTGCTTTATAACCCACAGAGTGAAATGAAAACTTCTTAGTTCTTTTTCTGGTCCCAGATCCTTAACTTAGCCCTGAAGATTTGTTATAATATATTCTCGCTAATCCCTTGCTGCTTCTGCACCAAGTCTTTTATACATTAATTGCATTGAACTTCTCACTGTATTCTGTTTGATTTACTTTTCTAACGTTCCCCACTCTAACTGTGATGTTTTCAAGGGAAGAATCGTCTCATATGTGGTAGTAGCTGTAGTACTTGGCACAGTGGTTGGCCTATAGTAGGTGATTATTAAGTTTTGATGAATCAGTGAAATGTCTTTTCTTCCCCATGTTTCATTACAGCAAACATGACCTTATACACCAAACATTTTCTACATATATCATGTAATTTCACTCCTGTATGCATTTTTTAATCTCTTCTGTCAGCCTGAGAAATATGCTCCCTTCCATTCTCTACCTATAGAAGTTCAATACATTTTCATCCTACTACGTAATTGGTTAAGCTATGTGCTTAAACTTAAAAACGAGAGTACTGAATGAGAATAATACATCCAACTCTATGATATTAATACTAGGCTTATTCTCATCTTACAAATAAAGAATATAAGTGACATGCCCAAGATTCAGACCTAGATATTAGCAGTTGTGGGATTTCAGCCCAACTCTGACTTACTCTGAAGCCTCTTCTTTTTTATTTTATTTTATTTTAAAGATATGGAGTACAATTCAGGGGTAGGTATACAGATGTTCATTATGCAGGTACCCTTGTTGGTGAAGTGTGCACCACACCACACCCCCCCGGCAGATTCTCACTACTGCCAATCCCGCATCCTCCCCCCCGCCCCGTTTCCCACTACTGCCAATCTTTTTCTTATAGTATTACGATAATTGTTCAAGGTCCGTTTATGAGTGAGAACATGTGATACTCAGATCTTTGTTTCTATGATAGATCACTCAGTATTATAGACTGAGTCCATTCAGGTTGCTGTGAAGTTCATGCTTTTGTCCTTTATGGCTGCGTAATATTCCATCGTGTATGTGTACCACAGCCTGTGTTCTTTTGTAATGAGTAAACCATTGATGAATACCTTCAAAAACATTTCAAGACTGCTCTCCAAAGAGTTATAGTGGCATTTTTAACAGTCTTAACAACACTGGCATTAATATTTGGTAATATTTATTAATTTGACAGGTGAAAAGTGGTGCTTCATTCCACTAGATCTAGAGTTAGATAATTCTGTCTAGAAATAAATAATTTCCAAAGCCCTCTTTGCACATTTTGTCTTTGGAAAAGTATGCATGTTTCTCATCCTGTAGTTCTCTCATCAGATGAGCTGTGATGAAATGAGGGATAAAATAAGATTACATTAACTTCTACCTGAATTTATGGAAGCATGATTATATGTCTTTTTTTCTTTTATTTATTTATTTATTTTTTTGAGAGCCAAGGTCTCACCATGTTGCCCAGGCTGGTTTGGAACCCCTGGGCTCAAGCTATCCTCCCTTCTTGGCCACCCAAAATGCTGGGATTACAGGTATGAGCCACTGCACCCAACCAATTATATATATTTAAAAGCTAGTTTCACTGACTGGGCATGGTAGCACAGCACTTTGGGAGGTGGAGGCAAGAGGATTGCCAGAGCCCAGGAATTCGAGACCAGCCTGGGCAACTTGGCAAGACCTCATCTCTATAGTAAATCAACAATTAGCCAGGCACGGTGGCACATGCCTGTAGTTTTAGCTTCCTGAGGTGGAAGGATCATCTGAGCCCAGCAGATCGAGGCTGTGGTAGTCATGTGCATGCTGTACTCTAGCCTAGGCAGCAGAGTAAGACTCTGACTCAAAAATTAAAGCTAGTTTCACAAGAAGCAGTAAAACTTGTTTGCAAATTAGCTTGATTATCTTCTGATAAGCAATGACATTACATTTTGCTAAGAGATAAATTCTAAAACAAACCCCATTCTAAATTGCTTTCTTGGGACACAGAGGAATCTTGGCACAAAAAATAAGTGGAGAATAAAGGGAGTTTCACCAGAAATAAATTTGTCAAATAGGGAATCGCATTTTGAACCTATAGCGATTTCCCTATCTACTACATTTACATGAGAGCTTCAATTATTAATTATAAAAACAGAACTGAGAAAGAGCCAATGAGTAAACCATAAGGAATGTTAGTTGTCAATATTGTATTCAAAATAATGTTCAGAAGAGATGAGTAAGAGTCATCTGCTGCCAAGAAAAATAATAAGAAGAATTCCAGAGGAATCCACAAATGACTCAGAATAATCTTATCAGAAAAGTTACTGCCAGGTGTGATGGCTCACGCCTATAATCCCAGCAATTTGCAGGCGGAGACGAGAGAAGTGCCTGAGCCCAGGGTTTCAAGTCAAACGGGGGCAACATATTGTCTCTATAATAAATTTAAAAATTAGGTGTGGTTGTGTGCACTTGTAGTTTCAGCCACATGCAAGAGTGAGACAAAAAGATTGCCTGAGCCCAGCAGGTCGAGTCTGTGGTGGCCATGAGCATGCCACTGCCCTCTAGCCTGGGCAACAGAGGGAGACTCTGAGTCACCAAAAAAAAAAAAAGAGAGAGAGAGAGAGAGAAAAGTTATTGCTCATATTATGGAAAGAATTGTATTTTGGTATCTTTGCCAAGAGTTTTCCCAGAAAGAAAAAAGGATAACATTAACAGTGTTTAGCAAGTGCCTACTGTGTGTGGGGTTCTGGTTAGGTTGAATAGGACATCACCCTAATCCTCATGAAGCTCACAGTCGAGTAGAGAAGATGGACATTTAAATTGCAGTTTGTCACCGCTATAATAGCCATGTATAAGAGAGGGATTAATTCTGGGGGATTGGAATAAGTTTGGGCCTTAAAGAAGAGTGCATTTTTCAGGCAGAGAGAGAGAAAGAAAACGTCATCCCACGTAGAGGGAACAGTATGACCAACAACAATGAACCTTTTTTTCAGTGCTGAAATTTTTTTTTATTTTGGTGGTTTTTGCTTAACTTTCCCCACTCTTTGGCAGGTGACATGGTAACAGTTCTGTTCATTGTAAGGAAAAAATTAGGGAGGGTGAGAGGTGTTAGTGTCATTTATTGTCTATCAAAATGCCTCAGTGGGGTGTGGATAGCATCCTTAAGATCCTATAGGACTGCCATAGCCCACCGATGGCTATATTCATTTACATTTCTTGTATGTGTATTTTTTTCCAGGCTTATTCTGTGTATGATGAAGAGATTGGCTATTGCCAGGGCCAGTCATTTCTTGCTGCTGTATTGCTTCTCCATGTGAGTAATTAGGTCTTTATTTTGACTTAAATGTGGCCTGCCTCAGCTTATAGAGGGGGAAATTAAAAAAAAAAACAAAACAGAATTTAGTTTAAAAAATTGTGTATTTGTTCTTACATGTTTAAACTTCAGTTACCTTCAAAGTACTCTCCATTTGATGCAATACCCTATCTACTACTGAACATAGTTTGTGAACTCATCAATTTTGATGTCTTTTAGTGCTTCTGCCGTTTTTTGTTCACCCCTTACATCAGCAAAAGGTTTCTCTTTGGGGACTTTTTTCATCTAGGGAAACAAAAAAAAGTCACCTGGGGCAAGATCAGGTAAATAGGCAGGATGGGGCACAGGGGTCATGCTTTTTTGGGTCAAAAACTGCTGAACACTCATCACTGTGGGCCAGTGCACTCATAAATCACCCATCATGAAATGAGCAAATCGATAGAATCTCCAAAAAAAATTCACTGACGCCAAACACAGCCTCTTACAACAACGCTAGGTGGTATACTGATGCCAATGAGTTTCTAGAACACTTACTTAGCGGGAAGCCTGTACTACAAGGGGCCCGCCCTCCAAAAGATAATTGTGGTTTTGTTTTAGTTTTGTTTTTTTTTGATCCCCCCCCCATACTAACCTTAAGCTTGAGCATGGTTTTATATTGAGTTTAGCCAGACTCTCTGACACAAGTTTTAACTGTTGTATTTGGAAATTTTTTTCTTAAATTAATGTCATCATGGAAGAGAAATATGATGTGAATAAATGACAGTGTTGAAAATAGAACACGAGTACTCTTCCTTTTTTTACTAGAATAATTGGATAGACTTTAGTGTTGGTTTAGACCCTTGGGGACATTTTATCTTCCCTAACGTGGCCATGGTCATTAATACTTATTTGGGGATTTATGTATTAAGCAAAAAATTTGGCTTTCTTTTAGTGGCATTTTGTTTATTCATTTGCTCAGCAAAGATCTTTGCCCTCCAACATTTAAATTTTCTTTCAAATCTACAGAAAAGGTAAAAAAAATGTTAAGGTGAATGCTCTTTAATTAATTTGTCAATAAATATTTTTGTACATTGATTTTTCTCTTTCTATCTCTCTGCATCTCTCTTTCTCTTTTTTTCTGCACTTACACAAACACATTTTATTTTTTACTTCAGAGATTTTTTTGGAAAGTAAGTAGCAAACATCAAGATACTTCACACCTAAATACTTGAGCATGTGCCTTCTAAGGGCAAGGGCATTCTTTAGCATAACCCTAATACCATGATTACATCCAAGAAATTCCATATTGATTCAGTAATGTCTGATACACATTATACATTCCGTTTTCCCCCTATTTGTCTATTCTGTAGGGTCCTTTATAGCTTTTTTCCTAATCAAGATCCAATGAAGACTCCAACATTGGATTTGGTTGTCGTTTTTCTTTATTTTTTTTTTTTAATTTAAATTACCCTCTTGCCTTTTTTATGTTTTATACCATTGATAGTTTTAAAAAATTCAGGCAAATTGTCATGTAAAATGTCTTACATTTTTGGTTTGATTTGTCTCTTCTTTGAGTTTAAAATGCTTGGGAAGAATACCACACAGGTGATGTCAGCAAAGAGTTTTTGAGTGCCTGTTATGGTCTATACTGTGCCAGAGGTCAGAGGCAAATAAGATAAATAAGGATAAACAAGCTCCCTATCTTCTTAGCTACAGGGCTACCAAATCACACAAATCTATCATTATTCATTTCAGTGGTGCCATGAAGGTATAATAAAAAGTTTGATGCAAGATTATAAGAAGGGAGCCTTATATAGATTAAAGGCCTCTCTGGAGGTATAACCTTTAAGGTATAATCTTAAAAATGAGAAAGCATGTTACTCTCTTTTGTACTTTTCTGTGTTGTTTAACTTTTTAAAAATGTTGTTATAAAAGTAATTAAACTTTTAAAAGCCAGAGTGTGGAGAGTAGAGTATTAGGGGCAAAGTGAGTGGTGCAATATATAGAAGCCCTAAAATGTGGAAACACTTGGTGTATGGAAGAAACTGAAAGGAGGACAGTGTAACTAGAGCATCCTGAGAGATGGGGATTACGAAAGAGAACTAGGGAGGGCGGAGGGCCTTGCAGGCCACATTGAGTCTGGATGTTGCTTCTTTAAGCAACAGAAAGCTTTTGAAGGGTGTTAAGCCATTTTGTGGAGATTGCGGTATAGGTTTGAATATCCCATCAGAATTGCCACTATGGGTCAGGCCTCATCTCCCTCACATGTGGCAAAGTCCAGCTGCATTCCATGACGAAGACTTCAAAGATCTGGTCTTTTGCCCTAGATTCTCTTACCTTTTCAATAATAATCTATGCTTTTCTCATTTATTACTTACTTAATCTGATTTGCTTTTTAGCTCTGCTTTATTTTCATTGATTTCTATGCTCAGCCCATCTCCATCATCTTGTTCCACAGAAGCCTACCTACCTTCTTGACTTTTTTTGAAGGCTTGCTATGGTCACAGCAAGCTCTAAATAACATTTCCAGTGCTCTTTTTCCTGAAAAACTAGAAATTTTGCCAAGTTCTTAGGGAAATATTTTTCCAGAAAGCTGTAGGTATTATTATAAACAGGGTACCATTTGCAAACAGAAGTAGGGTTTTGTAGTACTTTCAGCATTACTGCAAGCCTTAGAATGTGTAAGGTTCTTCTATGACAACTATGTTTTTAACAACAGTGAGGAAGAAAAACAATTTTACTAGAATGAAATAGCAGCTAAGGGAGGTAAAATGGTTAAACAGATGACTCATGATTTGGGAAAGATGACAGCTACACTGTGTATCAACCTGTTCCTACTCAGCTCAAACTCCATCCTCCCTATACCGCCTGTTCCTAACTCCCTCAAGTAGACACAGGCCTTCCTATTCTTGAATTATCACTGATCTTTCTACCTTATTCACATTACAGTTACATGCTAGTTGTATGGGAGACGCCTTGAGAACAGGAACAGTACTGACAGAGTAGGTGTCATTAACTATTTCTTGACTGTGGGAATGAATATTTTAAAACACAACTTTAGACCTGAGATTCTGTATAGCATTAAATTGTCTGTTAAGACAGTAGAAAGACAAATACAATATACTGAGGAAACGTGTAATTTTTAAAAAAATGTTTCCAACCCCATTGCCTATGTCTTACAGATGCCTGAAGAACAGGCATTCAGTGTTCTGGTCAAGATCATGTTTGACTATGGTCTCAGGGAACTTTTCAAGCAAAACTTTGAAGATTTGCATTGCAAATTTTACCAGTTGGAGCACCTAATGCAGGTAAAAAGAGAAACCAGCTTGTGTTTGACAGAAAGAGTACAGGACTGGGGAGAACTAGTTGATGAAATGGAGGGAGCAGTGGTAATTGCCTTAGCCATCTATGGTTAAGGACAGGTTTTATTTTTATCATTTTTCACTATGTACTGATGATGCCAAGATTAGCAAAGTGTGAACCTGATGAGTAGTGTGAGCTGAGAAACACCCAGAGGATCAGATAACTGTAGGGGACTTTTTCATAGCAGACTTCATTTAAACATTTATCAAGGCTCTGAAGCTGATTGGTTAGGAGTCTTATAATAAAAGTTAAACAAACTTTCCCAAACATTTCAAAACTTGGAAAGGAAAAAATGGCTTTCCAAATACTTGTCACCATTTTGGGAATTTCTCTTTCTTTAGAGCTACTTTGTAGTCTGAAAAAGAGAGCTTAGCACCAGCTTAATATCAGATGGTAATTGTTCTTCTGAGCACTTTGGAGATTTTTAGAAAAACACAACTATTTGGCTTTTTTGACCTATTCCTGGTAGATTATAAGCTTCCTGAGTGGGAGTTGGACAGATGCATATGTGCCCAGAACTAATTAATTTTCTGTTTCAGGAATACATTCCTGACCTGTACAACCACTTCCTGGATATAAGCCTTGAAGCGCACATGTATGCTTCCCAGTGGTTTCTTACACTTTTCACTGCAAAATTCCCTCTCTACATGGTCTTCCATATCATCGACCTGCTTTTATGTGAGGTATGTATCAGAGGCTACAGCACTTTGGTTTTTGTTTGCAGTGTACTTCCTGTTTAGCTCTGTCAAAACAGAGTTTGTTTGCCTCAGTTACTTTAGTGCTGGGAAATTCAGGCTTAAGTGACTTCCTTGAGTGAATTACTGATCACGTTAAAGTTATACTCTACTATGAAAAGACATACTGTATTAGACATTTTTGTATTAGTAATAAGTTTGGTTTGGTTGTATTTAATGAAGAAACCCAAAGTAATGACTAAATATCATAGAAGTTTATTTCTCTCTCATGAAAAAAAGTCACAAGGTTGGCAGTAGCCTGCCTTCCCCAGAGTATGGCTCTTAACGTTATGGTAGAGTAAGCTCCAGCCATCATATCTATATTCCAGCCAGGAGTACTAGGGAATGGAGGAAGGTATATCTGTTCTTTTTAAAAGAGACCATTTTCCACTTACTGGTGGGAACTAGGTTATATGACCATGCCTATCTACAAGGGAGATAGCTGGGTAGGAATTTGCTAAAAATTGGTGGCTTATTTCTGAAGAGAAAATAAATATTAAAATAAATAACAGTCTTTGCCATGATATAGTTTTGGGTTTTGTGGGGGATGTGTATGTACATTTAAGAAAAAATAGACTGGGTACAGTGGCTCACTCCTGTAATCGGAGCACTTTGGGAGGCCAAGGCAGGAGAATTGTTTGAGCCCAGGAATTCAAGACCAGCCTTGGCAACATAGCCTTGTCTCTACAAACAAATTAAATAAAATATTAGCCAGACGTGATAGCTTGTGCCTGTAGTCCTAGCTACTTAGGAGGCTAAGACAGAAGGATTGCCTGAACCCAGGATGTTGAGGCTGTGGTGAGGCCCTGATCATGCCACTGCACTTTAGCCCAGGCTGGAGTGCAGTGGCATGCTCACGGCAACCACAACCTCAACCTGCTGGGCTCAGGAGATCTATCCACCTCAGTCTTCCAAGTAGCTGGGACTATAGGCACAAGTTATCATGCCCAGCTAGTTTTTTTATTTATTGTAGAGATGAGGTCTCACCAAATTGCCTAGGCTGGTCTCGAACTCCTGGGCTCAGGCAGTCCTCTCACCTCCACCTCCCTCAATGCTGGGATTACAGACATGAGTCACTGAGCCCAGCCTCAGCCTTTTTTTGTATTCATATGTTTCTATATAATTTCTATATGGAATGTCAGATAATATATATTATGGTTCTGTATGTGTTTATTTAAAATATGGTTATGCTACATATACTAATTGCCTCTTTATATACTTGAACATGCATATCTATACTATCTTTTTTGTTTAATTATACCATATTCAAAACATATAAAAATTCATAGAGAATTTGTATCTACCATCCAGCTTGAAATATTCTAAGAAATGTTAGGATAAACCAACATTTACCAGATATACCAGTATTCTTACTTGCTGCCAAGTATCTCGTTTTTTGTTCATGCTGTAACTTATGTGCCAATTTCTAATCTGAAACCTTTAAGTTGTGTCTAGTTTTTCACTATTAAAAACAGCTATCTGTTAAGTAGTTACTGAGGGTCTAGTGGCATGCTAAATATTTTATATAAACTTTGTCACTATATCAGAAAACCCTTAGGAGAATATTAGTTAAGGAAACCTAGGCTGAGCAACTTAAACAGTTTATCTGAATCAGCATATATTAGTTCCTTCCCTCATTTGTCCTTTTGAGGATAAACAGCATAATATTCTAGATATAATCACTGAAAATGTTATTTTTGTGTTTTCTCTTTCAGGGAATAAGTGTGATTTTTAATGTCGCCCTTGGATTATTAAAGGTACTCATTTATATATAAGCCAGTTCCTGTTCAGCACTTGCAACAAACTGGTCTTGCCTTATTCTGAGCAGTCACCGTACTCTAGGCTTGTCCCCAACGGTGTATATTTTCAGGTGGCTCTGACAAAGGCTAAGAAAATGCCTTCTGAGATTATAACAGTGCTGGAAATATAAAATGTTTTTTGTGCAACTTTATAGCAAACATTTTTTCTATATGGGTTTGTATTTTCTTTCTTTCTTCAAGACTTCCAAGGATGACCTGCTGTTGACAGACTTTGAAGGTGCCTTGAAATTCTTTAGGGTTCAGCTTCCTAAGAGATATCGCTCAGAAGAAAATGCAAAAAAACTAATGGAATTAGCTTGTAATATGAAGGTAAAATAAATTTACATTGATATTCTTTTGTATACTTAATGTCTCACTCTTCGTGATCAAGCTATGAACATTAATAATAGTAATAATGATGTTCTCTCCTTAATTCTTGCACTTTTTTCCCCAAAATAATTTCATACGTATTATATCTTATGAGTTAAATCTCATTATCTCCCTCCCCCGAACTCTAGGAAAACTATAGTTGTCCCCATTTTGGAGACAAACCAAAACACAGCAAGGCTGTAGCCCCCTAGTCATAAAACTAGTTTGTGGCAAAACTCAGATTTCATGATTTCTACTGTGCCTCTTTTAACTTTCAACATTTGTTGTTATGGTCAGAAATTCCCTAAAATGAAACTAATAATGTGAAGAAAATCCACCCTGTTTTATCACTGTAAGCAACATTTATGACTTGTACAATTTTTTTTTTTTTTGAGTTGGAGTCTCACTGTCACCCAGACTGGAGTGCAGTGGCTGCTCCCGGCCACTGCAGCCTCGACGGCCACTGCAGCCTCGACTGCTGGGCTCCGGCGATCCTTCCGCCTCAGCCTTCCAGTAGCTGGGACTACAGGTGTGCACTACCACGCCTGGCTAATTTTTTGATTTATTGTAGAGATGAGGCCTTGCCAAGTTGCCCGGGGGGTTAAGCAATCCTCTCAAAGTGCTGGGATGACAGGCTTGAGCACCGCACCTGACCTGTACAATTGTTTTTAAAGTAAAAAGATATAGAATCTCCTTGTCCTCATGTTATAATAAAGTTGTATTTTTAAAGAAGAAAAGTAATTAAGGGAATTTAGGTTAAAATTTGGGGTGGAGGTCAGAATAAATTGCATTCAGATTGTTAGAGGGTATGTGTAAGGCTGTTGTATTCATTTGGTATGACTTGAGATTGAAACTAGGATCAGTCTGTCATGGCAGATATGGTAAGGGATAAACTTCTCTGTGTACAAAATAGAGCAGTGACTTGGTGTCAAAGAGATCTGAATTCAAAATAACTTCACCTTTTTTTTTTTTTTGAGACAAGGTCTCACTCTGTCGCCAAGGCTGGAGTACAATGGCATGATTTTGGCTCACTGCAGCCTTGACCTCCTGGCTTAAGCAATCCTTCCACTTCACCCTCCCTAGTTACTGGGACTACAGGCACATGCTGCCATGCCTGGCTAATTTTTTTATTTTTTGTAGAGATGAGATATCACTATGCTGCCCAGGCTGGTCTTGAATTCCTGGACCTAAACGATTCTCCTGCCTCTGCCTCCCAAAGTGCTGGGATTGTAGGAGGAACCATCATGTCCACCCTCTTCACCTGTTTAAGGCTCAACTTCTTTATTTATAAAGTAGTATTGGACTGCTGGTTCTGGTTGTGTCAGACTGAGCTAATTCAGGCTATCCTTCTTAAATACATAGAGAGGCTAAATAAAATATAACCTAAGAAATGTTTAACTATGTGGTAGAACTTGAAATGAAAAAGAGAAATACACAGTTATCTGAAACAAACTAGCTCAACATTAGTATGTATAAACTGATATAACACATCACGGGGGAATGTGGAACCATGTGTAGGTATTAGGGTTTTAATGCTCACACAGACATAATGGATCTGACTTTGGGCCTTTGGGAAGCAGTTGAAAACTAGGACCTCTGTATAAAGCGAGGACCTTAGAATGGCTCCCTTATCTGTTAAAGGGGGAGTACAAAACTTTACTTATTAGCCTGAGAGACGATTGACAAAATTTCTTTCCAATTAAAATGTTACATATGGGCAACCCCTTCTGGTCCTTTCCCACTGTGGGAGCTTTTATGTCCTCTCAATAAATCCTGCTTTCTAAAAAAAAAATGTTATATACTTCATAGACGTTATGACTAACCATTATAGTTTACAGTATACCAGGTACTGTAGTTAAGTGCTTTTATGTGTAAGGATTAACTACAATTTCATAGGTACAGTTCTTAACATAGTGCCTGGTAATTAGTAAGGTTTTAAGAAATTGTGCCTACTACTATAATTATTTCCTCTCTTGTTTTTCAAGCAGATATAATTTTCCAGCAACTTTTTCAAAAAGAATGAGTTTGCACAGAGCATAGAACCGAGTGAGTTCTGAGATTCTTTGAATCACTCTTCCCACCTCAACCTGGTTCAGCTCATCTTTCCCTTCAGAATCTCCTTTCTCAGTGTCCCCATCTCGTTAGTGGTAACTGGTTGTTCAGGCCGAAATCCTTGCTGTCATCTTTGACTCCTGTTTTTCTCACACTCCACATCTTCACACTCCACATCTAAGCCCGCTGTCAAAACATATCCTAATTCTGATGACCACTTTCATCACTAACACCCTAAGCTAACCATCATCATCATCATTTCTTTCCTGTTTCCAGAGTGACCCCTCTCTCTGACTTTTCTCCATCCCATCTCTCCCTTGCTTAAAACTCTCTAATAGCTTCTTACCTAACAGTATAACTCAAGAGCTCTTGCTATGACTCATAAGGCCTGGCACTATCATGCACATACTACATGGACCACAAGACCTGGGCCTGGCACTCTCTCTGATTTCATCTTCTACTTCTCCCCCTTGTTCTTTCCACTTCACACATCATGGCCTCCTTGCTGTTCTCAGACATGCCAAGCATGTTCATCCCTCAGGTCTTTGCATTGTCTAGTCTCTGCCTGAAATGTTCTCTTAGATGTTTGCGTGGCTTCACTGTCACCTTATCCAGTCTCTGGCTCATATATCAGAGAGACCTTCTCTAGTTACAGTGTCAAAAGCAGCAGCTCCCCTCAGCCTTTATGCCCTTATCTCCTTACCTATCTCCTTACCCTATTTTATATTCTCCCACTGCAGTGGAGGTTCTGCAACAGAATAGACTGTCTCTTTTGTTCACTGATGAATACTCAGCACCAAGAATGGGATCTGGCTTATAAATATTGGTTGAATACTGTTGAGTTTCTACTGTTTTTTACAGAGAAGAATTAGCATGGATTTGGGCAAAGCTTAACAGTAGTTTCCAGCCAGAGGTTTTACCTTTTGGATTTCCATTAGCTTGAAACACTTTAATAATATATGGATCCTTTATTTCCATTGACTAGATGGTAGGTATAGGTATCTAGTGTCTTTTTTTCTTGCCTGTGCTTTTAGTAAGTTAAATCTGATAGGGCTTCCTTCAGTGTTTCTGCACAACCCGTATATTTTGTGCTTAGATATGTAATTCCTTTTAGCCCTGGAGAACTTACATGTTTGGGGTACACTTTGGTTGATTCCCCCATTTGTACATGGTTTCGGGTGAGATAGTAATTTTTCTTGAAATTGACTGACAGCATGGAAAGCCTACAGGTTTACCAGGAACATGAGAGAATGGAATTTTTCTGCCAAAAGGTGAGAGATTTGGTGTGTACAGTTTAGTTAGTGATGATTGGCTGTCCTCTAGCATCTGTGCTTAATACCAAAAAACATTAAGGGACATATACACAATAGTTGAACCAGTTATTGGCAAAGTGATAATCCGTAGTGGTAACTTGCGAATTCAAAATCAAGAAAAATTGGCACATGCATCATGAACACTGCCTTCTGTGACTTGCATGAGGTAGGTGTGAACATGATGATCTGTAGTTTTTGAGTCCCCTTTAGATCTGGAAAAGTGGTTCATATGATGTGTGAATGGTTTGAAAACGAACTTTTGCATTTTTTGTTGTGGAATTTACAAAGGAAACTTTTGCTCTGCAACTCACTGAAATTCCTTTCCATTATGGCTAGATTCACTCAGTTGTACAGTTGACTGTTGAACAACAAAGGTTTGAACTGCATGGGTCTACTTATATGTGGATTTTTGTCAAGAAAAGTTACACCAAGTGTAACTTTGCCTTCCCTTCTACCTCCTTTACCTCTGTTACCCCTGAGAGAGCAAGACGAACTCCTCCTCAGCCTACTCAGTATGAGGGCTACAAGGATGAAGTCCTTTATGATGATCCACTTCCACTTAATGAATAGTAAATATATTTTCTCTTTCTTAAGATTTTCTTAATACCATTTTCTTTTCTGTAACTTACTTTTTCATAAGAATACAGTGTATAATATGCATAACATAAAAATATGTGTTAATCAACTGTTTATCAGTAAGCCCTCTGGTCAGCAGTTGGCTGTTAATAAAGTTTTTGAGGAGTCAGAGGTTCCATGCGGATTTTTTGTCTGCACAGGGAGTCAGTGCCCTTAGCCTGCCTGTATTTTTCAAGGTTCAATTGAACTTCCTGATTAAGGTATGAATTGACAATACTTTGCCTAACATACAGGCCTAGCAAAGTGATAGTTACTTTTGTTGTCATTATGTTTTAACATTATGATTATTGTTGTAATTTCTGGTATTTATATAGTTCTTACATCTTATTTCTTCCTCACAGTACCCTGTAAGGTACTTAGGGCAAATCAAGTGTAGAAACTGAGGCTCATAGAAGTCAAATTAGTTACCCAGGTAGTTCTGACTGTAACCCTAGTAGAACCCAGGGCTTCTGACTCAGCATTCCCAATGCTTTCCAACCCATCAACCCATTCCACTTCCTCTTCTCATTGCAAAAGTGAAACAATAATTCAGTTTGGTGTGGCAATATCTGGAATGGCCACAAGATGTCTGTGTTGTTCAAAAAGGTCTATATTCTTCTCTGCCCTTGGGTCTTTTTTTTTCCCCCCCTCTATAAATCTTTCTCTGTCTCTGTCCTTGCCTCTTTCTACTTCTGGTTTTGTTTTTTTGTGTGTGTGTGTTTTTTCCCCTCTAGACCTTTTATTTCTCTTTTTCTTTCTGTTTCTTCTTAAAGTAAATTTATTATGGAACTGAAATATTTTATTTATTTCTTTGGAGTTTATATCACCGGTTCTTAATCTAAAATTTAATGTATGTCAAAACTCATTTAGCTGTCCATTAAATTTCTCCCCCTTTATGGGTTAGTAACCTGAGATAGAAAAATTGTTTCCACTTTTGGCATAATATCTGAAAGGAATTCCACTCTAAATAGAGTATTCCAG